CAGGTCATGAACTACGTATATAGATCTTTTAACTGTCATTGTTATCACTTTCTTTATAATAACAAAATGTATATCTATGACTCCTACAAGAGGACATGTCATGAGTATGCAAAGAAGACATTTGATTGAACTAAATCCTCTGTATGAAATGAGACTTTCTACATATTATAATACATAATGTTTCACAAACTGAGCTCTTTTAGCCTCATGAAACTGCTTAACTTTAACACAGATCGAACAATGTGTCAAATCTTTAGTTTCATTGTGGTAATTACGATGGAGATCGACTTGCATATGTTAAGACATTGATGGATGATTTGCCATTTGACTCTATTAGAAAAAAATAATAAAACAAAGAGTTGAATAACGAAAAATAATGCTGAGTATTTACTAGATATCTGTGTCTTAAAAGAAGAAAGTCAAAGAATTTTTCGGATAAAAAACTTCGAACAAAAATTCTATACATCGAAAACTTTATCGTGTAACAATCTTGTCTATAACTCGAACAAGTAGAATTTTATTCTTTACGAAATCGATCACTGAAACATTCAATTATTTATTTATTTAATTACGTGTAGCATCTCACCCGATATAATGCTATCATTTAATCATTAACTTATATTTAGAATACTATAATTATGATGCAGTATATTAAGAAAGAGTAGTGCTGTCGTTCATCAAAATTTAATAAATTACTGTAACTAAACGTATATTATCAAAAAAGTGCAGTACAACAAACACGAAAACTAATCTGAATGTTTTTGTTTTCATTCGCTGTTTAATAAGTAGATTGATTGTTTTCAATATTTGTCATGTTAATTTCTTCTAGAATCTATAATTTTTATTTTTTCAGCTTTATACTTAACATTGACTTTAATGTGAACGAATTTCTGAAGCATATAGAAAATATTAATGGAAATGATCGGTATTGTATTAAGTAATTAATCAGAAGGAATCCATTTAGTAGTAGTAAAATGCAATATGTGTCCAAAGTATGTATGCAACATTTTTCCATTTTTGATTTTGTTCTTATTCATGAAATCATTTGTATAATATATTCAAAAGAAATTGTATCAATCTGATCAAATGTATCGCTGCTTTTACTTTAAAAAACTGAAAATAACAATCATCTGTGAATACATGATTGATCTATCAAAGGTTTTTTATTCCTTCAAGACTGCAATAATATGCAAACAGAGAAAATATTTTGTGATAAAACAATCATTAATTAATTACTTTTACGTAAATATATATATATATTCACTTTAGTTTGAAATGAAATCAAAATTAAAGAAACAAATAACAGTCATCGTAAATCGATTGAATTGAAATTTGCATCCGAGCAAATCCAAGAGTAAATGTGTCTTAATTGAAGTACAGAAGAAATTTAAAAGATAATTTAACATATAGGTCCTTCCTCAATATTAGCTTTTTCTTAATACAAAATTTCATTTTTACGTTTCTAGAGAAGGATTAAATTGCAGTATGTAATAACTATGTTACAAACAAATTTAGACGAATTTCTGCTTATGGACTCTTTTTTTTTGATTATATCGAAAACATTGGACAATAGTTCAAGTATATCTCAATTCCTTTGAATATATTTATTGATCTTGTTATAAAAAAACACTTGGCAGCATAAAATGTTTCATCTAATTGAGTAACAATGTCGCGCACACGATTTCATCAAAAAATCCTAAAGCATCACAACTCAATTCATTGTGAATGAATAGACCGTTCATTAGACGCGAAAACTTCTAATTTACTATGATTAATCAAACTGATCTAATTGAAGTTTTGTTAAACTTTCTAGTTGTAGTGACGAATGATATGAATAACACGTATATAGTTCAAGATTTACATAGCGTATAGTCTTCATTTAGGTGCAATCACAAGTTTCTTATTTATACATATACATTTAGTGTCGCTGTATAAGGAATTAAACTGAATATACGAAGAATGATTAACGATTATTTATGCTTTCATCTCATTTTGTACGTTTTTTTAGTGATATGAAGGACGAAGAGACATCTTGATCACTGTCGAATGCATCAGAAATGTACATGTCCTATACTTTGACGACGTTTATCACTTAAAAATTCTTCTCTGGAAAAAAATACGATCGATATTTTCGAAATGGTTTACTTATAAAAAGATCTTATACCAGCAAGATATATCATTATAGTTGACCTAAAGATTTTAGATCAATAAATTCTGTATCAACTAAATCTTTTAATTCATATATTTGAAATCATACGACTAAGTTTAACATTAGTTAATATATTTTCCACGATAAAACACTTATCAATCGTAGTTTTTAATAGATAATTTCATGACTGAGTCAATCACAAGAAACACAAGGTTTTCAGAAGTATTTTTCAACTGTAGAGTTTGTTACACTAAACATATTCATTAAAAAATATTCCAATTTATTATACATATCGTGTTTTGGATATCCCCTTATATATGAAAATAAAAAAAAAAAAACATTTTTTCTTCAGTTCTTTTTTCTCTTTTATATCTATTTTCATACACCTTGCTGCGCTGTGCATAGATTTCGTACGATCCTTTTTTCATCAAAATTTGATGGAGAAACACGAAAAGTATCAATGTATCATACTCGTACTAATAGTATAACTGCTTCTGAAACTTTCTGTTGGAGAAATGAGAAAAAAAGTTTTGTCATACATTTCATAGTTTTCCACGAGATGAAATTGAAGTTTATTAACGAAAGATTGCTATAGTTGATTAGTTGTTGCATGAAGGTGCAAGAATTTGTGATTATGTTTTATTATTCAGTAAGTAACTAATGAATGTAGAATAAATATTGAACAAAATAGGAATATAATATGAAAATAAGTTGTCTTATTGTACAAAATCAAGCTTATCTTTGATGCTAATCAAATCGAATAAAAGGAAAAAGACATACAATATCGAAAATAAAGCATTGCTAATATTATGAGCAGTTCATTCAAATTTAGGGTGACGGATGTATACGTCACAATAAATATGGACATCGTACCATAATACATCGACAGAGACGGAATGAATGCTAGACGAAAACTTGTAGGACTGCAGTCAATCCACCGTACAATCCAAGCAATGTTGTAAAAATGTAGACAGCATTATTTTGTTTAGAACAATTAGTTGAATAACTCCATGATTCTAGTAAATTCTCTTCTAGAATCACACCGATTGGAGTCGTCGGTGAGAATCGCGTTGCACTACGATCGAGTGTAGTGAAGGAAGTAACTGCATATCTGTCCAGTTTAGCCACACAAACACCATCATAGAAACACTCAAGTGTCGATTGAGAAAGACCAATCATGACTGAGCATCCAACCACAAAACCTAAAATTATCACATATAAAAAATAATGGTAAAATTCTTTCAAATCTCTGTTAATAACAGACGTTATTGGAAACCTCAATAAATGACTGTAAAATGATAGAATCTTATGAGGACATACTCGATTAAAAAACTTACCTGGTAATATTGTTGTCTCACCATTCTGATCATAAAAGATAGGCGTCTTTGTACAATTCGACTTGCCACTTGCACAAAAACAACTACCATTCATTAAGGAAACCGGACTCGTACGAATAATGTAGTTTTCTTCTAAGCTTGAAAATCCTATTTTCCAACTTGTCATATACTTGTTTTGAAATTGATTAGCTTGAAAAAGATCGGAAATCCAATCATACATATGATCTGTTGACACTATAAAATTTTTAAACGTCCCAGTGATTGATATGTTGAGCAATGTATCGAATGTTTGTAAGTCCATTGCTTCCATGGATATCAAACTTTTCAGATAATTCATATGTACTATATTTATAGAAAGTATCGTGATTATACATCGATCGAATAGAGCATTCATTTGAATTGCGATGAAATTCAAACCAGATTCTTCCCAGGATATGTTCGCTGGTAATGAAGATACTGAATTTTGTGTAAGGAGCGTCGCTTCCGTACAGATTTCGTGGATTTTATATGATATCTCTATAATATCTCTGTAATTCATAGAGACCATTGTACAAGGACATGATAAACTATCAGAATAATGAGTATAAAGAAATGAGAAGTAAGTTTCATTTGGTGATTCTACGGTGAAGAACAATGTACGATGTTGAAATCGTATGAAAAGTGAGACGATTAGGAAAGATGATATTAATAGAGAAAGATAAATACGGGTCACCAAAAGTTGATATTCAACTTCAGGTTTATTTTGGTACACATTTATGAAATAAAACTTATCTCGAACATAGGCAATTAGTCCTTGATGTGCAGGAATACCTAGAATCATTTAAAATACTTGAATATCTGAAGCATAAAATTTCTTACCATGTGTTTGGTGAAGACACAAACGATAAATTCCATGAATAATTTGGATCAATAATGGAACCAAGAGACGCAGTACAATACATAATCCTCCAAGGAGTCCAATAACGGAGTTAACAAGAGTAATCGAATTTAATTTCTCATCGATGGTGTAGATACACATTTCCGGCTGACATTGAGCATAGTAAGATTCATAATCTGCTATTTGGATCCATTGATCAATAAAAGATGCTAACATCAAATCTCTGATGAAGTCCTCAGGCTTAAAAGTGATCATGCTGTCTGGATCAAGTGCTATTAAATGAGTCAAGTCAATTGGTAAATAGACATTTTCAAAACCATAAAGGCGGTTTTTGATCAGCATCTGAACACATGACTCATTGAAAAAGCAGTCCAGTGTGGAAATAATAAAATATAAAGGTTGACAACCAATAAAGAGGCCAGGAACAGTTTTATCTGGTTCAGAACCCGTTTGTACACATGACGATGAATAGTAATAGAAACCCAACGGTTGCAAACAAGCTTTCGTACTACAAGAACATACGCTTAAACTTGATGTGTAGATACCAACTGGAACATAATATAAACTCAACGTGCTATTGATCTGTTTGGAGATCATGGTAGGATTAAATGAATCAAATGAAACGAGTTTTCTTTGTTCAATAATCTCTATCACAAAAACGTATTTGCTCCACGCTATTTCGTAAAGCTAAATAAAAGAAAACATAATGAAATACAATTCTTTTAGGAAAGCTAGAATAAAATTCTTTTGCTTCTGCACGTTTATCTATCGATGCTTTTTCTCCATTCTATACGACAAAAACGTCATCAAAGATATTGATGGTGTAGAAGAAAAGATCATCGCAAAAGTAGAGAAGACTTTTCGATTCGAATGCACTAATGAATCGAAAAGCATAGTGTTAAGCTATCTTCTTTTTACCTGCTGTTTGAGAGAATCAGTCCAATTATGAGTTAGTTGTTCGAATTCGACTTTTGTTATGGGTTGAGAAGAGAAATAGTTCTCTGCTTCGAATGCATTCAATACATCGGATGCAATTGTAGTGATGAAATCACATAATATTCTAATATAATTAAAGAGCTTCAATCCATTCTTGCGAAAATTGGCCCAATGAAAAGATGGAGTGGGATCGATAGTACCATTAAGAAATTTCATCGTCCAATATTGAAGCCAACGTTCGTCACGAACAAAACTACCTGTACAAAATGGATGAAATTGTACTTCATAATGCATGAAAGTTGACCGTGGCATTGACAAACGACAAGATGGACATGATAGAATTGATGAATACATTTTATAAAGATCTTCAAATTGATTCATACTTGGATTTTCAACGATAATTTGTTTTGAACCAATTACTTTAGTGGAGTAGATGGTCAAAATATAAACACTGATTACCAAAACTACGATATAGATAGACTCGAGTAGAATGGATACCATGCTCATCATTCGTGAAAGTCTTCTTGAACAAATTGAATGTAGTAACTTTTTGATAAGCTAGCCTACTCATCGTTCATAGACGATCTCGGTAACCTATGAAGAGAAAAATATCAAGAGTAACAGAAATCTATTTAAGAAGAAATCAGTTTTACTTCTTTTTGATTGACGTCTTTCGTCAGCTGTAAGCATTCGAGTCTGTTGGTGAGATACGCTTAAAATGAATTTGACAAACAATGGAGACACAATATGCAATACCACACTCAGTCCATCAAAGAGACTGGCTGCGATTGTAATCATATAAATGAAAAAGAAGCGTTGTACATATGAATACGAGTAGGATTTGGGTGCACAATTCTGAAAATAGGCGATGAAATTAGTAGAACTCTGCAAGGATTCGAGCATTAGATTATCAAAAATAACACTGATAGTTGTTATTGGATCAAATCGAGAAGAAGAGCTCGAAGTGTTTAGTACAGAGACAGTATGAAGAGCGCCAGTTAATGTAATAACTATATCCAAGCATGATTGATTATAAAAACATTGTAATGTCGATTGAAGTAATGCATTTTGAGGTACACATCCAACTTGAAATCTTGGTACAACAAATACAAGTGATGCATCATTTGAAAATGCTTCATTCGGAATAATGGTTTTTGATTGATTATAGATGCCAGCAGGGTAGATACAATTACTTGTTTGATCACATCGACATGTTTCACTTGACATAAATG